TGCCTTTGAGGGCTCGACTTCGGAGGAAACAGTGGTTGTGTGTGTGTGTGTGTGTGTGTGTGTGTGTGTGTGTGTGTGTGTGTGTGTGTGTGTGTGTGTGTGTGTTCATTTGTCTCCATCTTCTGCAGTGACCCTGTGGTGGCTTTGTTATCCACCTTTCACCTGCATCCTCTCCCAGTGACGGCCCCAAAGACAAGGGTGCTACAGACTGTGGGTTTCTTGTTTGTTTAAACATGGAAGGATTTTATCCCACGTCTGTCCACTCTAAACAAAGTGACAAACACCACAAAAACATCTGTCTGTACTGACCACAAGTTCATGACTCATCTCACTGCCTGAAGTGGGCCTGAGTCTCGGTCTTATCTCTCGCTTATCTCTCAGTCTTATGGTCCTGGCTTATGAAGGTTATTGATTTTGAGCTGCTTCCAGATGATAACAGAACCTGCCCCATGCTGCAAGGCAGAGCTGGCTTCAGGGAGCCACAGCCTCTGCAGTCACAAGGGCTCAATGCTCAGCCATCAAGGTCCTGATGTCCTTAGTGATGCTTGAGCAGGAGTCTTTGCAATTCCACTTCAGTGGGGTCTGCGGATTATGTGGCTGCTCTTGTTTAGGAGATGTCTGTGTTTTAAGTGGGTGTTACCTGAGACTTAGACCAGGCTTATTCTACAGCAAGAGCTTGGGAGACGTCAGGGAGGAGAGAAGGGCCAGCCACGGGGCACCTCTTCCTTCCTGGGGGCAGAAGGGGTGGAACAGTAGAAGGGGAGGGTTTGTGTCGGTCTCAGGGGGCCTGACCTGCCAGGCTTCTTCTTTCCCAGCCCTGGTTGCTTCACTGGGGCACGGTGCCCTCGGCTCCACTCCCTGGAGCCTGTGGTGGGAGCCATGGATCGTAACGCCTCCCACAGTCTTTAGAGAAAAAGAGAGGTCTGTGAAAGTGGATTTGGAGGGGGTGTGTCAGGAGCCAGATGGTGTAGACATCTGAGAAGTGCCTGGAGGTCTCAGACCTGGACAAGGGCAGACGGACATCCACAGGCAGGCACTCCAGCAGACACACCTTGGCCTGGCTCAGGCAGTCCGGCTTTCGGCTCCAGTTCTGACATTTACAGGCTGCACAGTGAACCTTAGTTTCCTTTCTGATACTATTTTGGTGTGGATTTAAGATTTCTCGGCAGCTAGCTCATCCAGATTGGTGGCATTGTGGAGAGGTGTTGGATCCTGGGGCTGTCTGACCTAATCAGTAGATCGTAGTTGGTGGGCTATTAGGAGGTGGGCCTGGATGGATGACAGAGGCCAGGTGTCCACGGAAGGCATATCTAGCCCTGAGGTTGTCGCTGTCCCCTCCCTCCTGAAGCCCCTGGTCCTGATAGTTCCCTCTGCCGAATTGCAGCCACTGAGCGACAGGGCTAACCGTGGATTGAAGCTGTCAGGAAAAAACCTTTCTTCAGCTTGTTTTTTTGTCAACTATTTTGTTATAGTGATGAAAAGACATCCAGAGTGTAGATCAAGGCTCCTGCCCCAGGAGCAGCTCCCGCTCTGCTCTGTTGGGCAGAGGTCACACTCACCACTCCCTCCGTGAGAGAGTGGGAGGTAAAATGTTCCACGACCCCACGAGCAGAGCCTGGACACAGAGCCTGGACACAGAGCCTGGTTCCGACACTCCTCCCTGTCAGCTGCATGACCTGGTCCAAGTTACTCACCTTTGCCTGCCACTGTCCCTCAGCTGTGATTCGGGACAGCAGCAGCATGGCAACTCATTCCTAGGATTTCTCTGAGAGAGAATCTCATCTTCCGGCCATGGAGACCGTGTTACCGTGGCCTGGCATTCCTTTTTACATCTGTGACTCTATGGAGATCAAACAGGATGGCGGTGGTGCGGAGAGGAAGTTGTTTGTGTGGCTGCATGACGCTGTGTGTGCAGGCCGGCACATGCTACCTGGGTCCCTGGGCCAGACACCGCCTCTGCCCTGGGAGAGCATGAAGGCTCTCTGTCAAACAAGAGCCCACGACAGAGTCCTCAAGGTGTGTCCGGCTCCCTGGTTTTAGGAGGAAAGAAACAGGAAAGGCAGAAAGGATGGAAAGACTAAGCAAAACAAACAAACAAACAAAACCACACACACACACACACACAAAAAAAAAAAAAAACAGCCAAACAAAAAACCCAGAAAACAAGTAAAAGCCAGCTTGTTTTCCTGGCCTGTGTAGGTGGCTCCCACGTTTTGGGCACATGCCAGGGACCCTGTTGCTCTTCCCCTCAAGCAAGGCTTGTTCTCAGGAGGGGACTGTTGTCATTATAAAGTGATTTGTTTCTCAGGGATCTTTTCAGCGGGGTCAGCTCTGGGCAGTTTTATCAATAAGGGAATGGGGGAAGGATTCAAGGGGTTTTCTTTTCTTTGCCCTTCTTAGTCTTCCCATGTCACAGCCGGTGCTAGGGCTCTCAGGCCACGGCCACTGCTCCCAACAAGGACAAGAGGAAAGAGGGTCTCTTGGACGCCACAGCCAGGGATGTGGAGAGAAGATAACCCTGTTCCCTCTCAAAGGCAGAGAAGCAGTGTTGGACCAGATTAAAGACACCCACGTATGTCACTGATGCCCATCTCAGGCCAGCACTGGGCTCCTGGGGTGACAGACCCAGGAGACCCACCTTACAGCTACAGAGAAACGAAGGCGGGGAGAGGCTCCCGACTCCTCTTGGGTTTCCGGTTAAGAAGGGGATTTTCTAAAGGCAGGAGAGGGTTAAAGGCAGAGCCCAGGATTCCTGCTGAGATCTGCTTCCCTCCTGACGCCACAGCCAGTACCCAGGAGGTTTGTGGGATCTTTCTTAAGAGTAATGGGAGCCAGGCGTGGCCCAGGATAGCCCTGAGGTGGAGGGTGAGGTGACAGTGTCCTGCTGTGCCTGGAGCTTCACCGGCAGCAGGCACAGAGCAGAGCCCACTCACTGACATCAACAATAAACAAAGCCCACACCTAGGGCCGGCTGGTCCTCCCCGCGGCAGGCAGGCAAACGGAGCAAGCGCCTCCACAAACAAATCACTGACTGTGCTTCGTTAGACTTCACTTCGAGCAAGGCCCCCACAGACACCGTCCCAGCACAGGCTCCCAACAGAGACTGCCACTACGGTTACCATCGCTACCACACACTGAGCGCCTGCTCTGCGACAGGGACGGTTCGAAGGCTTTTCCTGAGATTAGTTTAATTTTTACAAAGCAGAGACAGCTGTTCAAAGTACAACCCATTTTCCACAGGAGGAAAAGTGAGCGAGGGAGATTGAAACGAAACGCCCGAGGTCACAGAGGCCAGCGCAGAGACACGGGACCCCTTACTTTCCCTCACGGTCTGTGACTTACTAGCGCAGACACATTCATGGAAACTTAGCGCGGCCCCAGGCTCTGACAGGCTCACAGACAGCCAGAGCTGCTGGTAGGAAGGATGGGGAGGAGGTAGGTCTGTTGTTAGGGGTGTAGGCTGCCCCCAAACTCTGCGTCCAGTGAGAGCACTACAGCTGCAAAGGTGGAGACAGGGTCAAAAGCCGCAGGAACCGGCTGTGGAGCAGCTGCTTCCGGTGTTGAAGCATTCCCAAGGAGCGGTTTCTGTGCCCCCACGGCCTACTAACCCCGACATTCTGCACAGCCTCCTCAATGCTCTCGGCTGCACCCGTTTCCCAGCCCAACAGCCTTCGGCGGTTAGCACTTGGACCGCCGTGCCGAATCAGCTCCCAGGCCCAGAGGCCTCAGAGATCCGCGTCCAGGGAGCCGGGGGTGGATCGACTTCATCCCAGGAGCCCACCGTACTCCACCTAGGAAGCATCAGGTTTTCGGTGTCCTTTTAAACACGGGCTGGGAGACCAACACTGGAGAAACACCGATTCACCGATACAATTCACCGATTTCTCTTCCAACCCTTTGAAACAAAACTCGTACCGATATTTTTTTTGTGAAGGGGGAAAAAAAAAATCCCCCAATCCTAGAAGTTGTAGATTTTCCAAGGATGAAAACGCCACCAGGAAGACGGGAAATTACCCCGGGCCCCACATTTGTCCCTGATTACTTGCGTTGTAATTGGTTTGTGAAACCCAGAATCAGAGTTCGTAAAAACCGTTTATTCTGGACGTGTAACACACCTCAGCGGCGTTCTTAGAAGGACCTAGGCAGCTGAGAAAGAGGGGTGGGGGTCGCGTGGACGTAACCAGAAGAGCGCAGCAGACGAGGGGGAGAGAGTGCGGCGGCCGGGGCGCGCGGCACCGCGGCCGCGAGCGTCGGGGCCCTTCGGGTACCCACCTGCAACCTCGGGTTTCTACGGGCGGCGCGGGGGCAAGTCCGCACCGAGTCTATCCGAACCCCGGTGGTCGGTCCCCGCTCCTGCTCCCCAGCCTGCGCCCCGCCGCACAAAGGCTCGGGCGCACAGGGCGAAAGGTGGCGGGCTGGACCGCGGACGGCCGGGACCCTGCGGATCCCCTTCTCTCCCTCACGTCTGCCGTCCCCCCGGAGTAATCTCTATAATTTAAAGACGACGAGAGAAGGCCGCTGTAGGGGCGAGCGCGCCCCCAGCCGTGCCCGGGTGTCCGCGGCCCTGCTGGGCAGCGACTACGCCGAGCGCCCCGCGAGCCCGGGGGCAGAGCGGCGCTGCGGCGGCGCCCGCGGGGCGGAGGCCTCCGGGGGACTGCGGGGCCCGGGGCCGCGGGGGGCTTCGGGGGCGGGGGCTGCTCCCCATTGTTCGCCCGCAGCCAATCAGCGCCTCCCCGCCGCCTCGCGGCCAATCTCCCCGCGCCTGGGCCCCCTCCCCCGCGGCCCCCGGGGTGGTGGGAGAGCGGGGTGACGCTACCGGTCCCGCCTCCAGCCCGGGCCCCGGGCGAGTGCGTGCTGACGTCATGCTGCGTGCGGGCCGGTGCGGAATCGCTCCTTCAACTCCGCGGGGCCCGAGTTAGTTAGCCAAGAGCCGAGGCTGGGCGCGCGACCCCGCTGCTCCTGCCCCCGGCCGCACGCTTGGCGCACATCTCGCTCTCTGCATGGTGGATGTTATTTTTCATTATCCTTTCCTGGGTGCTATGGGGGATCATTCCAAGAGTAAGTCTTTCGGTGTGTGTGGGTGTGTGTGCGCGCTTAATATGCAGCGTTTCCAATGCAGAAGAATGTTTAGCGGATTCTACAAGTGGCCTCTATTTGACAAAATACTTGGGAGAATAAAAGAAAACGAACTAAACGATGCTTTTCGCCTGCAACAGTGTTCATCCTTTGGAATCCTGTTTTCTTTTATAATTAGGCATTATGACCCAAGCCGGCCGGGCTGACCTCAGGCTGGGGATTTTTTTTCTCTTCTTTTTCCTGTTTTTTGTTTTTTTGGTTTTTTTTGGTAGGATGCTTAGGTTTGACTTAGGGAGATGGGTCTCTTCTGTTTGCTCGTCTTTCGGGGCTGGAGGTTTTTTCAGTCGCTTGATCTGAGGTGTTTAAATTGAGAACTGTCGGAGAAGCTGAGCGGAGACAGGGCTGGTGGCTGCGGTGCTGGGACAAGGGTCGCTGTGAGCGGGAGCGGGCGGAAGTCCGGGCTTGGCCGCAGGGTGGACGCGGAGTCGGGCGCCCGCTGTCCCCGCGCCGTCCTCCGGCGGGAACGGACGCGGCCGGCGAGGGTGCTGTTCTCGCCTCCTCCTCCCCGGCCCTTCGGGAGCGCACGGCCCCTGCGGTGGCACTGCCGAGCGCGAGCGCGGGCCGGGCGGGGGCTGCGGCGGCCGGGGCCGGCCGGGGTCCGGCAGGCAGGCCTGACGCGGGCCCCGCGCCCTTCCCCGCCAGAGAAGCCCGGGACGGCCATGTGCGTGGGCTGCGGGAGCCAGATCCACGACCAGTTTATCCTCCGGGTGTCGCCCGACCTCGAGTGGCACGCCGCCTGCCTCAAGTGCGCCGAGTGCAGCCAGTACCTGGACGAGACGTGCACGTGCTTCGTGAGAGACGGGAAGACCTACTGCAAGCGGGACTACGTCAGGTGAGCCGGCGGGGCCCCGGGTTCGGGGCCCGGGGCTGGGGGACGCGGCGGCGCGCCGGGCCCCGCGCTGACGCCGCCGCGCCCGGGCCCGCAGGCTGTTCGGCATCAAGTGCGCCCAGTGCCAGGTGGGCTTCAGCAGCAGCGACCTGGTGATGCGGGCGCGGGACAGCGTGTACCACATCGAGTGCTTCCGCTGCTCCGTGTGCAGCCGCCAGCTGCTCCCGGGAGACGAGTTCTCGCTGCGGGAGCACGAGCTGCTCTGCCGAGCCGACCACGGCCTCCTGCTGGAGCGCGCCGCGGCCGGCAGCCCGCGCAGCCCCGGCCCGCTCCCCGGCGCCCGCGGCCTGCATCTGCCAGGTAAGCCGCTCCCCGGCCCGCAGCCGCGCCGCGCCGGGGGGCGCGCCAGGGTGCAGCCGGGCGCCGGGCTTCCGACGGGAAGCCGGTGGGAGAGGCCCCGGGCGCCCGCCTGTGCGGCCGCGTGTGCCGGGAAATTGCAGGCGTGTGAGCCTGCGAGCTCCGGGAGTCGTGTTCTTTGCGGCCCTGGCCGGGCAGGACGCAGGGCAGCATCCGGAGAGTGGAGGGCCTGGGGTCCGAGATGGTGCCTGTCTGGGTTGTTTAGAATTCCTTTGATGAACCGGTTATCGTCAGGGAGGAAAGATGGTACCCCAGTGGAGTACCTACGGGAGAAGGCTAGCCGCGCGGAAGAGGGGCCTGCGCTCTTGTCTGGAGATCCAGCGAGCATAAAGGTTCAGGGAGTTTATTGAATAGAACCCTGGGGTGATAGGTGTCCTGCCCGGGAGCTGCCAGGATCAGGGCCACAGGCAGGTGGAGAAGGGGCTCCAGAGACCCCAGCTCCGGGAAGCCGAGAGGTTTGCCGCTAGGCCCCGTCTAGACCTTGCCTCCCAGAGCTGTGTGGCCCCCAGGCCTCCGCCCCTCTCCGCATCTCCAGTTCCACGCTGTGGAAGGAGGAAATTGGTCTGGGTGGGCTATTTGTAAATGTTTACCCAGACCTAGAAATGCCTAGAGGGGACACGAGCGTAAACAGTGCAGCTCGCACCCAGTGGGTGTGTGGACCCGGCTGGAAGGGAAACCGTGGATTTGGTGTTGAAGGAACCCTAGTTTAGTTCGCCTGGGGGCTCCCCTTTGTTGTGAAAATGTAGGTCTGAGGCGGTTTGGGGTGGGTGCGAATGGCTGAGGTACCCGGGGCGAAGGGGGGGGGGGACTCGCGGGCTGACGCCCCCGGCCAGGCAGGCAGGAAGGAGCCGGTCCACGCCCGGAAGGCCTGTGCGGTCCCGACTCGGAGTCTCCCCCGGCAGAGCGTCCCGAGCGAGCGGCGACACAAGCCGCGGCAGGCCCTAGCGCTAGAGTCCAGTCCCCCAGGCCGGGTGGCTCGCTGCGCCGCGCGCCCCAGCCTCTGCCCTCCCTCGGAGGCCGCACTTCGATCCCCACTTCGTCCTCCAAGACCCCACCTTCCCCCAGAGTGCTCGGCCCATCCGGCTGCACGCCGTCGGCCTTGCCTAGGGCGTGCTAGTCCCGCAGGCCTAGAGCGGGGCTGCAGAGTCCTGAGGACTCCGGGAGGTCGCCCCGCGCGGCGGCCGGGCCTGCCGGGACGGAGCAGAGGCCATCCTCCCCCGGGGTAGGGCGAGCGGATGGAGGGGGAGACCGAGCCGCAGCCAGACGAACGGAATGAGAGGGGAACGAAATCTTGGGCGGTGGGCCCGTCCGACCCGCTGCCCCCTCGGCCCTGCAGACGCCGGCTCGGGCCGGCCGCCCTCGCTGCGCACGCACGTGCACAAGCAGGCGGAGAAGACCACCCGGGTGCGCACGGTGCTCAACGAGAAGCAGCTGCACACCCTGCGGACGTGCTACGCCGCCAACCCGCGGCCCGACGCGCTCATGAAGGAGCAGCTGGTGGAGATGACCGGCCTGAGCCCGCGGGTCATCCGCGTGTGGTTCCAGAACAAGCGCTGCAAGGACAAGAAGAAGTCCATCCTCATGAAGCAGCTCCAGCAGCAGCAGCACAGCGACAAGGCGGTGAGGGGCTGGGGCGGGCGGGGGGCCCGCGCTTCCCGGGGAGACCCGGGTGGAACCGACTCCCCGCGTCCGCGGCACCCGCACCTTCCGAGGAAGGCTGGCTTTGGCGTTCAGGTCGCGGGGGCTGGTGGCGTCTCGTGTCGGCCACAGCCCAGACTGGAGAGGCCTGGACGCCGAGACGACCGAGTGGGGTGTGGGACCGCGGGGTCCTACATTTCTTGGGCAGGGATTGAGCGGGGCTTTTCGTTTGTTTGCTTTGGTTGTTGTTTGTTTTTGTTTTTTGTTTCCTGCGCACGCCTGGCTAGGGAGGGGCACAGACGCCTCCGTTTCCCTGGCCCGGTGTGTGGTTTCTGGAGTGGCAGGTTGGTAGGCCCTGGGGCACCCCCGCAGCGGGGTTTCGTTGTGCGCGTGATGCGCGCCTCCTCCTCAAACCAAAGTAATCCTTAAATCGCCCTCCAGAGCCTTGGGCTCCGTGCTCAAGCGGTGCGAGCGACCGGCCTGACTCACGCCCTGCTGTCGCTTGCCCCCTAGAGCCTCCAGGGACTGACTGGGACGCCCCTGGTGGCGGGCAGCCCCATCCGCCACGAGAGCGCGGTGCAGGGCAGCGCGGTCGAGGTGCAGACGTATCAGCCGCCCTGGAAGGCCCTCAGCGAGTTCGCGCTGCAGAGCGACCTGGACCAACCCGCCTTTCAGCAGCTGGTGAGGCCCGCGCTCACCGCGGGAGTGGGGTGCGGGGGCTTCTCACGGGACCCGGGCCCTGGGGACGGAACGGGCGGGCGGGCGGGCAGGCCTGCGGGGCCCGCCGCCTCGCCGCCGACGCTGAGCCTGGGTCTAACGCGCCTGCCCTGCAGCTCGTCCGCGGGTCCCCGGCAGGTGCCGGGGCAGGGGCCGGCCTGCGCTCACTTGCTTTCTCCTGCTGCCTGTCCTCCAGGTCTCCTTCTCCGAGTCCGGCTCCCTAGGCAACTCCTCGGGCAGCGACGTGACGTCCCTGTCGTCGCAGCTCCCGGACACCCCCAACAGTATGGTGCCGAGCCCCGTGGAGACGTGAGCGAGGACCCCTCCCCGCCAGCCCGCGGACCTCGCATGCTCCCTGCATGAGACTCACCCACGCTCGGGCTCCGGCTCCGAGAGCTCTCCGGCCCCTGTGATCGTTGTTCGAGCGGCGGCGGCGGCGGCCAGCAGCGCGGGGACGCGGCCCGCCCCCGGCCGGGGCGCCCTGCCGAGGGCTCTCCTGTCTTTCTGTAACTAGCATCGGGACTTCCCGGGTTCGCCGCGCCTCGCCCCCCGCCGCGGGGGGGACCGGCCTCCCCGCGGGCCTTTCCGCGCGGCGCCCGCCCCGACCTCGCCCGCGCTCCCCGAGGCTCTGCACCGGCCCCGCCGGCGAGGACGCGACGGCCCGAGGGACCAGGCGTCACCCCCACAGCGCATGACCGCCGCACAGGGTAGAAACCGGACTCAAACATGTCTTAAGTTATCAGTCGACGGAGGACAGTGAGAGCCTTTGCCGAGCAAACGTAAGTTATTGTTATTTATTGTGAAGCGAACAGTGGGACGGATATTTTGATCTTAATAAAAACATCCCCACCCCTGCCACGCCGCGCCTCTCAGTGTGCTGTTGGCGCCGCGGGAGCGGGGCGAAGGCCGCTTCGCGCGTGGACCTCGTTTCGGCGTCCCCGCCCTCGTGCCGCGGCGCGACGGGCGCCCGACGGGAGGGCCGGGCGCTGATTGGGCGCCGAGGGCGTGCCCGGCGCGGATTGGGTGCCGCCGGGGCGGGACCGACGCGGATTGGGCGCCGCCGGGGCGGGGCGGGTCCGGTACGGCGTGAGCTGCGAGGCGTTTCCGGAAGCAGGAGCGCCCTGGGCCGGGGCCGCCTGGAGAGCGGGACCCGGTGGTGGAGTTACTAGTTTGGGCCGCGAAGCCCGCCCTGCTCCCCGGGCTCTGCGGCGCGTCCTCCGCGTTGTCCCTAGAGTGGATGCGCGACGTGATCAATCTCGCTGCATTTATTAATTCCCCCGTCTAGACAGGGGAGAAGGCCGGGGCGGCTCCTTATCTGCGTTTGGCATCACCTGCAAGCGATACACTGAAGGAGCCACAACAAGCCCCCGCTAGGATCGCGGCTGCGGGAGAAAATAAGTCCACCCAGAACCAGTCTGGCGTGTCCTTGGTTTATTTTCTTTCCAGGCCCGAAATGGAGAGGGCGGGGACGGCCCCTGGATATGTCGTGCCCAGGTCACTTGGTGTGACATTTCAAACCCCTGCGACTTGTTTTCTTGAAAACTGGCTTTAGAGATCGCAGGAAATAACCAAGAGATACTGAATCTCCAGCAGGCCCCCCGGGCAAGCAGAAGTTAAAAAAAAAAAAAAAAAAAAAAAAAAAAAAAAAAAAAAAAAAACCCGGCAGGCTCAGGTTTTACCCTCTACAAATATTTAACCCTTTGGCAGTCTGGGACAGTTCTTTCCAAAAGCCAGCATTTAGCCCTCCCTTCGCTGGTTCAGAAGGCTGCCAACTCACCATCCTGCAACAATCTGACATTTCTATTTCTTTTGCCCCACAGTTAAATGGCCCTCTATGTCCAAGTTTTGTGTTTTGAAGGCGTGCAGTGTCCATCCTAGCTTATAGGTAGCTACCAGTGACAAATGTTCCCAAAGGGAGCTGGGATAGAGGATAGAGACCTCAGTTAGAAGCAGTTGCTTGGGCTGTCCAGCAGTTTCAACTTGTCCATCCCATTCCAGGAAAGGATTGAAGGCTTCCTTGTCGATTAAAGAAAATGAGAAGAGGTGGGGAAATCCAACCACATACATTTATAGTTTTCTTCCTGAAAGTCAAGGTGATGCTAGCACTTAAAAAAGGGAACATTCCCTTTCTTGGGGATTTAGGAAATGGTCTGCAAATGTACAGATAAGATACATATATACAGAGTTAATTAGGGCCAGCTTTACCACTCAAGGCTGGTTCTTTGAGGCGTCATCCCCTTTACTTAGACCATTCGTCCCAAACAGAAAAACAGATCTCTCTCTCTCTCTCTCTCTCTCTCTCTCTCTCTCTCTCTGTCTGTCTTGCATCTGGTTGACTACTGAATAGGGAAAAAACTATAATAAATCTTACTTTTGGAAACTTGACTATCAGAATGTTTTTTTTTTAACTTTTTTATTAAAAATTAACAGGTTCTCAGGGAATTTCACTAGTAGTACTAAACTTTGGCTTTGACAGTGCAGTATTTTACAAACTACATCTACCTCTTACTATGGTCTTTTCCCTTATCATTCACAACTTCAACAAACTAATAACCCATTTTGACTTGACACTCTCTGTGTGCCTTTTTTACCAGGGGAAAATTATCCAGGGAAAGTGGCCGTGGCGCAGTGAGATCATCTCAAGTTTTCTCTCCCATTACCCACCTAAAAGAGTGTGTGGTGCTCTCAAGTTCCCAGGGGAAAAGGCTTTCAATGTCCTTGGCAAGCTAGCAGATCTACAGTTAGTTACATTAATAAATACGAATTTCACTGGTTCCCAGGTCATCTTTAAACATCTTTTGTAATGAAGTAGGGATTTCCTGGTAAATTAAATTACCTGTGACAATTACAACTTTTGTGTTTTTATGCTAACATTTAGCAGGAGACATCCAGATCTGTAGTAAAATCTCAGCTTGAGGAAAGGGGCTATGGGTGGAAAAATGGAATTATTTAGCATGATTCACTTCAGAATACGATCTCCTCAGAAGGCTTACAGATTTGCTTAGCTCTGTGGAATTGAGGCGGGGAAAAGACCCCAGAGGCAGACGAATTTTTGCCCACACGATTTGGTACACATTGTAAGGCTGCTGCACAATTCTGGGGAAATGAATTTTAATATTGAGTATGAGACAGAAATCAGCCTTTCAGTTTTGGATATGGAGTAAGTTAAAGCTCAATCTTGTCAGAGCCAGGAAGGCTGGGTCTAAATGAGCCATTGTTCTACCGCTGCCTTCCCCAAATGCCAGACTCTGCCACTTTTGCCTTGGGGTGGGCTTAACACTGCCATGCAATAAGCTGCGTTCACCAAGAAAAAAAAAATAATAAATATATATATATATATATATATAGAGAGAGAGAGAGAGAGAGAGAGAGAGAGAGAATTAGCCGAACAGAACCCTGCTGGGGGGAGAAAACAATGGACGAGTAAGTTTTGCAGAGAAAAAAGTTCCCAATGGAGCTTCGATAAAAGCAGGAAATTCAGAGTTTATTAAGCCGATGCAAGGAAGATTAGAGGCTTTTAACTGTGGGTCTGATTGATGTAAAAGTAAACTTTCTTTAAAATGCTGAGGTTCAGTGCTATAATGAGGACTGTGTGACCAATTACAGGCTAGCACCTTGTTGAGGCTTTGTGAGGAGAATGCAGATAAACAGAGCGAGGTTGAGGGTAGTGATGGGAGCAAGAAAGGGCACAGGGAAGTCCTCCACTCAGATGCAGACGCACAGCCAGACAGCTCAAGGTCCAAGCTCCTTTGTGCCTTCAGCAGCAATCCCCAGCCAGGAGGGAACGCTAGGTGGGTCTAGCCTTTGGTTAAGAAGGCCAGCACCTGAAGGGTGAGGGGGTCATCAGGAGGACTCTGGGGTGGGCAAGAGTCTGCCTCTTGGGAAGCTGGCTCTGTGCTTGAGGCTTGGGGAGGAGAGGAGAAAGACTGGGGTCCTAGCACATGTCCACCAGAGCTGGGAAGATGCAGGTGTTTCTCACAGCTGCGAGAGGCCTGAGGAACACAGAGGTTAAGGTTTGGGGCTGGGTCCTGACCTTGGCCACTAGGAGGCCGAGGTCCAGGTTCAAGGTCACAATGCTGGCGGCTGCCAGAGTCTGGCGGGGAGGGGGAGGGGCATTGCGGCTGAGGACCGGCAGGAAGGTCTGACATCTTCGGCTTTAGGAGTGTCTGGCTCTGCAGAGTTTAGGGGTAATTTTGTCATCCCGGGTGCAAAATTTGGTTGCAAATGTTGCTGTTCTTGGCGTCCGAGAAGCTTTTTCATGTCGGTTTCGAATTTTGGTTCAGGCACTGGAGCCGGAGGTGTGCCCCTGCTCCAGGAGGAAGCCACTGGCACTACCGGACTGCAGCGGGCGCATCCGGACCATTCGATTACATGTTTAATTGCGAATTCTGGTACAGCTTCTGCGAGGTTAATCACAGCTGTCTCGATTATTTATGGCTTTTTGGCAAATTTCCGAGCAGATAAGAGGTATATTCCACGGTGAAACGTCTCGCAGGAAACCTTATAAATACTTGATGACCCTCCTGGGCTGTGCGGACCGCCCTCCGTGCTGGCTCCGTTCGGAACCAGCAACTTAGGCATCCCTCCCTCCATCCCCAGAGAGGGGGTAGAGAGCAGGCGCACCGGCAGTACTCAGCATGGCTGACATCAGACCTCTTTATTTTCTTTCGGTTTGTAAAACAGCTAAACAAAATTGAACACACAAAATTGCAGCACCATGAGGTTCCAAAAAGAAGTGCCCAGAAAAAGGAAGGTAAGATTTGAGTTGTTCAGCTTCTTGTGACAATCTAGGTTTTTGGGTCCATTTTCCACAGCCAGATCTTTCTTGGTAATTATTACCAAAGTCACCGCGGCGGCTCTGCCCTGGGTGGGTTGAGGAGCCGCCCTTCCCCCCCCCCCCCCCAGATGGCCAAAGCTTCGTGCTGTGATGGCTGGACTCAGGCCACCCTTACTGTTCGCTTTACTCCCATGTTGTCCCAAATTAATTATTTAAGAAGATGTCTGATGCTCCCAGATTTTAAAAAATTATTTTAGAGACTAAATTTAGCTCAGCAACGCTAAGAGTTCATAGTGCATTCTGCCATAAAGTTCCTGACCAGTGGTTGGGCGCTGTGATTTCAAACAGCCCGGAGGCTTACTGAAAGTTAGTTACACAGGTCTCAGCTTCAGGCTTTAGAAGAAAAACTTGGAGCAGGCTTTATAAATGAGTTAACACTTTCTCAAATTGTGCTGCTTTAATGTGAAAAGTCAACACTGAAAACAGTTACTTAATTACAAGAATGATATTTGTCTAATTTACCCATATTACAAATGCAAATTACACAGCATGGCGGCAAACAAACTCCAAAATATTATGCATAAATGAAACAAACTCAATTTGCAAAATTAGGAAGAACAGCACAGTATGTACAGTCTTTATAAACAGTGCAAAAAGGAGCATCTACAGCAGGAGAGTATAAACAAACCAGGGTTCCTTAAGAAACAACGTAAAAC